TGGGGCTGGTGCGGGATCGGGCAGTGTTTCGTTCTGCTGTGCATGGGGTCGCTATGAGTCGGAAACGACTCGACGGCACTTAACAACAACAACTTTGGTGAGTAGCGACTGGGCTCTTAAAAGCTTGCATGCAGCCATCTAGATTCAATGATGGGTTGCTCCTCCTCCAGAGTAAAGAAGAATGAAGAAAACCAAAGATTCATGGAAACAATTAGTCCAAGCGATTGGTACACCATGTGATCCTCAGCCTATATGACAGTGAGACCAAAAGAACTAGATGGTGCCCAACTACCACTTTGAACCACTCGGAGCAGGATCCTGGATAGAGTGGGAGAACAATGTGGAACAAAACTCAAAATCACTTGGGGGGAAAAAAAAGGCACCAGTTTTGCTGGTCTGATAGAGCCTGGTGGAACCACTGAGACTATGGCCCCTAGTTACCCTTCAGGTCTGGAATTAAACCCACACCTGTGGCTTCCAGCCAAACAAAAAGCAAGTGTATGAAGTGAACATTTACTCTAGGTAGATATACTCCTTGCAGAGAATAATCATGGGCAAATAGAAGGGCTATGTATGCACAGGGACATAGCTCAGGGGGCAGGAGGGCATGGAGGGAAGGACACAGGGAAGAGGTAACTAAGGGGAAGAAGTGGGAGGGGAGCTGTTGCATTGCGGTAAATTGTAGTCATGTCATGAGAGAAAGTGTGTGTGAACTGCTGTATGGAAAGTGAATTTGCTCTGTAAACTTTCACCCAAATTAAAAAAAAAAAAATCATTGCCATCGAGTCGTTTCCAACTCATTGTAACTCCCATTCTTGTTTCTGAGGCTGTAAGTCTTCACAGAAGTAGATACCCCATCTTCCTTCCACAGAGTGGCTGGTGTGTTTGAACCACCGACCTTCCAGTTAGTGGTCAAGTGTCTTAACCATTACGCCACTAGAGCTTCTTTTTAGTTATCTAGTGCTGCTATAATAGAAAAACCAAAAGTGGATGGTATTAACAAGCACGAATTTGTTTTTTATCATTTAGGATGCTAGAAGTCTGAATTCAGAGCACTGGCTCTAGAGAAGGCTTTCTCTCTGTTGGCTCTGGAGGAAGGTCTGTATTAATCAGGACAACCTGTCTTCAGCTGTGCTTGCCAGCACGCCTCTCTCTTAACACTTGGCCCCCAGTCTAGCCTCTGCCCTGCTTAGGCAAGTGTAATGAAGCTTTTTAACTCTGCTGGCAAGTATCCAGAAGCACCCGACTCAGCCAGGCACTCAGTTCTCTTACTCTGTGGGTCAGCTCCTATGCCATCTCATGTGAGTCTTCTGGTTGTACTGTTGCCATTTCTTTGCCATTACTTCTCATCATCTTGTGCTGTACCCAGGGTTACAGCTCTCTCTCTCTCTTTCTCTCCTGGTTTTAGATTCTCAGTGCAGGGATCCTGGGTCCAAAGGACATGCACCACTCCTGTCTCTTTTTGGTTGTATTGAGGTCTATCCATCTTTGCTCATTCATGTAATCTCTTTTATATCTCAAAGATGAGGAAATTGAAGATTTCTACCAACTTTTGCAGTCTGAAATTGACCAAATATGCATTCAAGATGTGTTGATTATCACTGGTGACTGGAATACAAAAGTTGGAAACAAAGGAGAGTTACCAGTGGTTGGAAAATATGGCCTTCATCATAGAAATAACACTGGAGATCACATGATAGAATTTTGCAAGGCCAACAACTTATTCATGGCAAATACTGTTTCTCAACAACATAAGTGATGTGGACTTCATGAGATGGAATACACAGCAGTCAGATTGACTACATCTGTGGCAAGAGGCGATGGGGAAGTTCAGTATCTGGCCAAAACAAGGCCAGAAACTGATTGTGGAACAGACTATCAACTGCTCATATACAGGTTCAAGTTGAAGGTGAAGACAATTAAAACAAGTCTATGAGAGCCAAAATATGGCCTGGATTATATCTCTCCTGAATTTAGAGACCATTTAAAGAACAGATTTGATGCATTGAACACCAGTGACTGAAAACCACAGGAATTGTGGGATGACATTAAGAACATCATGCATGAAGAAAGCAAGAGGTCATTAAAAAGACAAGAAAGGAGGAAAAGACCAAAATGGATGTCAGAAGAGACTCTGAAACTTGCTCTTGAACAGACAGTAGCTAAAGCAAATGGAAGAAATGACAAGATAAAAGAGCTGAAGAGAAGATTTCAAAGAGCAGCTCGAGAAGACAAAGTTACTATAATGAAATATGCAGAGACCTGGAGTTAGAAAACCAAAAGAGAAGAACACAGTGAACATTTCTCAAGCTGAAAGAACTGAAGAAAAAATTTAAGCCTCAAGTTGCAATATTGGAAGATTCTATGGGCAAAATACTGAATTATTCAGGAAACATCAAAAGAAGATGGAAAGAATCCACAGAGTCACTGTGCCAAAAAGAATTAGTCAATGTTCACCCATTTCAGGAGGTAGAATATGATCAGGAATCAATGGTACTGAAGGAAGAAGTGAAAGCTGCACTGAGGGAAATGGTGAAAAACAAGGCTCCAGGAATTGGTGGGATACCCATTGAGATGTTTCTACAAATGGATGCTGTGCTGGAGGCACTACTCGTCTGTGCCAAGAAATTTAGAAGATAGCTACTTGGCCAACTGACTGGAAGAGATCCATATTTGTACTCATTCCAAAGGAGGGTGATTCAATAGAATGTGGAAATTATCAAACAATATCATTAATATCACATGCAAGTAAAATCTTGCTGATGATAATTTAAAAACAGTTGCAATAGTACATTGACAGGGAACTTCCAGAAATGCAAGCTGGATTCAATTCAGAAGAGGATGTGGAAGGAGGGATATCATTGCTGATATCAGATGGATCTTGGCTGAAAGCAAGGAATACCAGAAAGATGTTTACTTGTGTTTCATTGACTGTGCAAAAGCATTTGACTGTGTGGGTTATAACAAATTATGGATAACATTGAGAAGAATGGGAATTCTGAATACTTAATTATGCTCATGAGGAACCTATGCATAGACCAGGAGGCTGTCATTTGAACAGAACAAGGAGAAACTACATGGTTTAAAATCAGGAGAAGACTGCATCAGGGTCATATCCTTTCACCATACTTAAATCAGTCTGTATGCTGAGCAAATAATCTGAGAAGCTGGACTATATGAAGAACACAGCATCAGGATTAGAGGAAGACTTACTAATAACTTGCGGTATGCAGATGACAACCTTGCTTGCTGAAAATGAAGATGACTTGAAGCACTTACTGATGAAGATTAAAGATTATAATCTTTGGTATGGATTACACCTCAACGTAAAGAAAACAAAAATCCTCAAGCTGGACCAATAAGCAACATCACAGTAAATGGAGAACAGATTGAAATTGTCAAAGATTTCATATTACTTAATTCTACAATCAACACCAATTGAAGCAGGAGCCAAGAAATCAGATGACGTTTTGTATTGGAGAAAACTTCTGCAAAAGACATCTTTAAAGTGCTGAAGAGCAAAGATGTTTCTTTGAAGATTGAAGTGCACCTAACCCAAGCCATGGTGTTTTCATTTGCCTCATATGCATGTGAAAGCAGGATGATGAATAAGGAAGACCAAAGAAGAGTTGCTGATTTTGAGTTGTGATACTGGTTAAGAATACTGAAAGTACCAGTGATCTGCCCAAAGTACTAACAAATCTGTCCTGGAAGAAGTGCAGTCAGAATGCTCCTTGGAAGGAATGGCTGGACTTCGTCTCACCAACTTTGGTCATGTTGTCAGAAGGAACCATTCCCTGGAGAAGGATATCATTCTTGGTAAAGTGGAAGGTCATCAAAAAAAGGGAAGGCCCTCAACGAGATGGATTGACACAGTGGCTGCAAGTTTAGTTCTATGGTACATAGGTGGCTATGAGTCAGAGTTGACTCAACGGCACATATCAACAACAACAGACTCTTGAATCACAGACTCTTGGGACAGAATTTATTTCTTGTTCAGAAGAAATAGTTCTTCCTCCTTTTTCTTTACCTACAAGAATAGACAATTTTAGCCAAATTGTTCAGAACTGGCAACTCCCAACTTTCAGAGACACTTTTTAAAAGAAATCATGTAGACCTGAAACTGCACTGAGCCACTGCAGAGAGTGAGCACAGCAGGATGAAAGCTGTAATGAGCAATTGTGCTCAGGCACTTGGATGTCCGCCTGAGAGCCTATGCGCATGGCACCTGGGTAAGCCACTACAGTGAGACATACATCTTCACTGTGCTGGTACCAGCATGGGGGCCATATGCCCCTCCTCCCTGTCTACCCACCTTCACTCCCTGTCGGCTTTAAAGACATGTTATTTATGGGAAAGGTAACGCAACGTTGATCCTTTAATGGTGATTCTGAAAGAAAAGAAAAAGAAAGCATCCCCACCCCCCTAGGCAATTGTGCTGCTTTGTCCTTGCAAATATAAAGTGCTCTGTGGCAATCTTGGTTCAGACCCCTTGTGCCCCAGGTCACTGTATCTGTCGTCTCTCTGGAGGCTTCAAGTAGAAGCTGTGGAGTTGATTTTGGGTCACCACTGGTTAGGCCATCCCCTTCTCCCTGTCTCCGAGTACTTGCAAATGGTATTGCAAGGACCCAGCAGAGAGTGGGCACTTGGCTTCTTGGAGTTTATTTCCTATCATCAATCATGTGGCAATGCATTGATGGCCAAGGGTATGGCACTTTCTGGCCTGGCAGCCTGGCTCCACCCTGCCCTGTGGCAGACCTGGCTGAGACTTTTTAAAAAAAATTATTGTGATTTGAGTGAAAATTTATAGAGCAAATTCATTTTCCATACAGCAGTTCATACACATTTTGTTTCATGACATTAGCTGCAGTTTCCCACAATGCATCAGCTCTGTTCCTAACTTCCTCCCTGTAGTTACCTCTTCCCTGTGTTCTTTCCTATGCATTCCTGTCCCCTGAACTATCTCCCTGTGAAAACACTGCCCTTCTGTTCCCCCACGATCAATCACTCTAAGGAGTGTATCTACCTCATGTAAATGATCACCCTATATGCCTGTCTCTTGTTTGGCTGGAAGCCACAGGAGAGTTCAGTTTCAGACCTGGAGGGTAACTAGGGGCTATATAAGTCTATATAAGTCACCAGGTTCTGTCAGACCAGTAAACTTGGTCTTTGTTTATGATTTTGAGTTTTGTTTCATGTGTTCTCCCACTCTGTCCAGTATCTCCTGCACTGATCCCTTTTGATCCCTTTCTGAGTGGTTGACAGTGGTAGCTGGGTACCGTCTAGTTCTGGTCTCATGGTCATATAGGCTGAGGATCGCATAGTCTACTAGTCCCTGGAACTAATTGTTTCCATACATCTTTGGTTTCCTTCATTCTTGTTTGCTCAAGACGAAGAGAGACCCATCGTTGCATCTAGATGGCTGCTTGCAAGCTTTTAAGACCCCATTTGCTACTCACCAAAATAAGATGTAGAACAATGTTTTTGTGTAGTATATTACAACAGTTGAGCTCAGTGTCCCCTGTGACTGTGGTCCTGAGCCCACAGATGCAACTACTTGCTCCCTCAGGGTTGGGTGATTTCTTGCACTCACCTCCCCACCTGCTTTGGTGAGGGGTTGGAGATGTGGTACTGTGCCTGGCTCTGCAGGATTCCCTGCAGGCTGGGACATCAGAGTTGTTGAAACTCTGGAAGGTGCTACAGTCTTGCATTCCCTTAGGGAGCAGACCAGTGGGCATGGGAACTTTGCTGTAGCCAGTGAGCCTGGCATCTTTGTGAGTGGGAGGCTGTGCCACTCTGCCCCTTGATATGAAGCCTGCTCACTTGCCATGCTTGCCTCTGGGTTTCAGATCAGACCTACTGTGATCGCCTGGTCCAGGATACGCCTTTCCTGACAGGCTACGGGCGCTTGAGTGAGCAGCAGGTGGACAAGATCATCTTGCAGCTGAACCGCTACTACCCACAGATTCTCACCAATAAGGAGGCTGAAAAGGTGCTAAGGAGGTGAGGGTGGGCAGGGCCAGGGCTGTGCTTGGCTTCCCTTCCTGTCTCTTCTTACATCTTACAAGAGAAGCAGGGCTGCATGGAGGCTACAAACCTCGGGTTTGGCCTTGGGAGTGCCCACATCCAAAACCTGTCTCCTCGGGTGTCCTTGGGCCTGGAGAGTCAACTTCATCCTTAGTCCTTCATCTGTAAATTAGGCTGCTGGCTCTTCCCAAGTTACCATGAGGGTTGCAGGAGATAGTATATGTGACAGGCAGTGAAGCTCTAGGCTTAAGTCTCCCCATTTGCTACTTGTGGGTTGTTGTGAGTGTAGTAAGAGGGGATGCTGAGCAGCCCTCAGCAGCACCTCTAAGTCCATGGTCCTCACACACTGGCCGCAGGTCTGTGTGTGGGCTATGCCCACGGCTGTGGTGGAGTGTGATCCTGTGTACTTCTGCTTCTCCCTAGGAAGATGTTCTGGTTACCAGTGCTGCTCTGAAAAGAAGATACCACAAATGGGATAGCTTTAACAAACAGGAGTTTATTCTTACAATTTGGAGGCTTTAAGTCCAAGTTCAAAGTACCAGGATCTAGGGGCTGGGTGAAAGTCCCTCAACCTTGGGCTTTAGCTCTGCCTCCTGCTCCCCACTGAAGCTGGAGGCTTTTCTTCACTCAGCTGCTAGCTGCTGAGGCTGACAAACCCAAGGTCAACAAGTAACAAGGCATAGTTCCAATGTCACCAAACCACACGGCAGGCCATTAATTCAAGTCCATTGAAAGTCCCAAGGTTGGCAGAGCATGGTAGGCTGCTGAACAATGACATGGCTACATGCAGGGTTCAAGTGTGCCATAAGCTAGAGACCATTCCCAAAGATGCTTCTTATATATGGGAATTAGACCACATCCCTAAAGCAGCTACTCAGCTGCTCCAATACATTCCACCATGGAGTTAATTATCTGTCTTACCATGGAGAATAACTACATCTAGCTGCCTAGGCACTCAACCAGGCCTAGCCAAGTTGACGCAAAAACTTAACTACCACAGAAGAGTATCCTCAAACCTGATACTGGAGAGCCTGGGGGTGAGGGTCCAGCATGCCAACCCTGTGGCCTGAGAGGTGGGCATACATAGGGAGACTCATAGAGGTAGACCAATCACTGCCCATACTGCCAATCCCTAATCACTGCTCTTCTTCCTGCATCTTCCACAAGTTTAAAATGAGAGCTCCACGTTTGCGTTTTTCCTTTTAATTACAAGTTTCACTATCTTGGGCTGTGAGGTTGCCAGTCTCACACCATGGTGAGGCAGCAGAGGGTCCAAGGTAGTAGGTGTTAACAGGGCCCCAAGCTGAATAGGCCAGACAGAGCTTGACAAGAACTTGTCCTTCCCAGAGCCTTTGTTTCCCCATCTGTTAAATGGGATGGTGAGTGTTCTGGTTACCTAGTGCCACTCTGACAAGATTATAACACAAATGGGATGACCTTAACAAACAGGAGTTTATTCTCTTAACAGTTCAGGAGGATAGAAGTCTGAGTTCAAAGTGCCAGGCTCTAGGGGCTGTGTGAAAGCCCCTCGACCTTGGGCTTTAGCTCTGCCTCTTGCTCCCAGCCTACTGAAGCTAAAGGCATCTCTTCACTTAGGTAGCTACTGGCTGCTGAGGCTAACAAGCGCAGGGTCAACAAATAAGATGACACTGTCCCAATGTTACCAAACCACACAGCCGGCCATTAACTCAAATCCATTGTAAGTCCCAAGGTCAGCAGAGCATGGCAGGCTGCAGAACAGCAACATGGCTACATGCAGGGTCCAAGCGTGCCATAAGCTAGAGCCCATTCTCAAAGCTGCTGCTTATATATTGGAAGCAGACCACATACCTAAAGGCAGCTACTCAGCTGCTCCCAATAGATTCCACCATGGAGTTGATTACCAGTATCATCATGATGAATACTACATCCAGCTGCCCAGCCACTCAGCCAGGCCTAGCCAAGTTGACACACAAACTTCGCCACCACAGTGTGTCTCTGTACTTGCAGGGTTGTGAGGATCAGGCAACATGAGACACTGGAGTACATTTGCTGAGAGCCACCTCACCTTGTCCTCCACTGTGTGCCCCCAACTTACCTAAATGATGGCTGGCTTCTCACCTTTGTCACCTCATTGAACAGGAGGTGTTAAGGCACTGAAAGCTGGGTCAGTGCCTATCTAAGAAAAAAACCAAAACCAAACTCACTGCTGTCGAGTCGGATCCAACTCACAGCGACCCCTCCTTGAGTGTCCGAGGTGGTATCACTACAGAAGTAGATTGCCCAACCTTCCAAGGAGTGGCCACCAGCCTTTTGGTTAACAGTCAGATGCCTTAGGCACTACACCCCTAGAGCTCCTACTGCCTATCTAGGGAGTGTCAAAGCCAGGACTGGCCATGGGGTACAGAACCGCCTTCCCACCCCTCCCTGTGTGCAGGGAGGGTGCCTGTGGGCAGCTGTTGTGGCAGTTGTACAGCCCCAGCCTGCCCTCTGGGCCCCTCTGGAGTCAGCCTCGCCTTCCCTGCATAGCCGACCCTGCTGAGGAGTGGTACTTGAAATACAAGGAACTAGCCCTCAAACACACATTCCCACCTGCGCTGCAGGCATCAATGTATCTTAGGTTTCAGGAAGCCTTGTGGGAGACTGGTGAGCACTGCCACCTACTTTCCTCCCTGCCAGCTTCATGTCCTGCCTGAGCAGGCCAACTGACAGCTGGAGGGAGACTTTCTGGGGGATGGGGCAGAGCTAAAGGCCAGCTTGACCTTCTGGTCAAGGTCCAGCTTCCTAGCCGGTGGCCCTAAGTGGCGCTCTCCTCTCTTCACTTGGAGCCAGGGGGTAACGATGCCACATGCAGGCTATCCTGAGGGCTGGGACGTAGAGCTCCCGGGACTGGAGACACTTCCTTAACTTACAAAAGTAGAGTAGTAATTTAAAAAAAAAAAAAGAAGCTCATATCCATATTTTAGTATTATAATGGGAAAGCTAATACATGGTAATTGTAAAAAAAAATTTAAAAAGTGAGACTTCTGCTGTACATCCTACTTAAAGCATACATTCCTTTTCTCCCACATATCCTGGGGGAGGAGGACTTTCACACATCTCTCTTTGCTTGTAGTTTCTGCACTTTGTGGCTCACGCAGGATTGTACATAGCCATGCAGAACTGCGTACTGCCATCAGGTGGCAGAGCAGCATGCCTCCGAAAGAGCCTGTTGTTTTTTCCTCAACCCTTGATTTATTTTTTAAATTACTTTTGAATTAGATTCCTATAGACTGCAAAATAGTGAAATTTATTTATGTCTTTCCCTCAGTAATTCCTGTCACAACCATACCGTCTAGGTTTCCTTACCCCCTCAGAAAAGTGGGGCAACTTGCTACACAGCAAACCACTTGAGTTAGTCTCTGCCCGGTGTTTTCTTTATGACTGCCCCAAGCTTCAGTTTCCTGTCCATGGAGTGGGTAGTTATTTTGACCCTCAGGGTGTGGGTGGAGAGCTGTGACCCTAAAACCACACACCCTGGCTCAAACACTGTGGATGCAGGGTAAGTGGCTGTGGTTGTTCCTAGTGCCCTAGAGGTGGTATATCTCTACTTCATGAAGAGGCTGAGGCTGAGTACTGGTATGTGTGTGGGGTGACCTGCCTCAGCTACCCTTGGCCTGACTTCCACTGGATTCCATTGGCCTCTCCCTCTCCTTCCAGTTCCGGAACCCCAAGGCGGCTGTGCGTGTACGGCTCTGCAATCTCCTGAGCCACCTGCAGCAGAGCGGTGAGCGTGACTGCCAGGAGTTCTACCGTGCCCTGTATATCCATGCCCAGCCCCTACACAGCTGCCTGCCCAGCCGGCACACTCTGCGTAAGTCCCTGCATCCAGGGCCCCTGCAACCCCCATCATGCCAGGGTGCATACTCAGCATAGTGTCCCCAGCACACCTTAGGCTGCCTGTTCCAGTCTTGGCAGCTGTCAGCAGTAATCCTGTGTGCACCCAGCAAGTCAGAGCAGTGGGCTCAAGGTCTGAGCCTCCCCCATCCACGGCCCCTCCCTAAACACCACTGCTATTGGCGGTTTCTCATGTGTCCTCCCAGGGAGAGTATTGCGTGCACATGTTTCTGTCCGTCTCTTGTGCTAATTTTTAACAAAGAGTAGCATATCATATGTGCAGTTCTGCCATTCTTTACTAGAGCTGGACACCATCTGGATCAGTTCATGAGCACAGCCTTGCTCTTTTCCATAGCTGCCTAGTGCTCTATAAAGATTCCAGTATTTCCCCTCCTCACTGGGGGCTTTCTCCAGTGAAATGCCCACCACATGTGAACACTTCTGTAGACAGTGGCATGAGTAGGGTTGGTGTTACCACCAGTGCAGTAACATGAGTTACTTCTCCATGGGTAAGGCTGGCCATTGAAGCACCCCCTGGTGGGCAGGGAAGGGCCCTCCCACCACAGGGCCCAGTGTCCCACTGTATAGCCCCTCCCAGCCCTACCCCTCAGGATTCCCCAGTTTCTCTCTTTTCCCATTGGCCAAGGTGGAGATTCTCCTTTCTGCCCAATGTCAGGTATTGGCTGACCACCCGAACCCTGTCTGGCAGATTAGGTGGGGGTTGTTGGTGGTGAGGAGTTACTGCACTGGGTGACAAGTATCACCAACCCTAGTGACACCACCTGCAGCACAACCTGGCTGCCTCTGCCACTACTGCTGTAGACCCTGAGGTCATTTTGCTGTCATCCCCTCTGAAAGTGTCAGGAATTGGAATCTGTGCCCATTTCCCTCCCCTGACTCCACACCCTGTTAGTGACGCCACTATGTGCAGAACAATTTCTCAGATGGAAAGGCCAGGTCAAAGCTGTATGTGCTGTGTGTCTCCAGCTATTGCTGATTGGTGGGGTTGCTGTCCTATTGACAGTGCTCCCTCAGGCCTGGGGCCTCACCTGAGAAGTGTGGGAGTCTCTCAGTGGTTAGGTCCCAGAGCTATACTCACAGACACAGACATGTCCTCAGGCCTCTTCCCTGTAGCCCTGGTGGGCTGTAGTACACAGTCCTGTCACCCTCATGAAGCCCACAGAGAGGGATGGCTCACCTAGATCACTTATCATGACCCTAGCTTTCCTCAGAGCCCTGAGGGCTAGTGGCCAATGCAGACATGGTGAAAACCCAGGAAAGGCCACTCTGTGGGCAGTGTGTGGCCTCAAGAGCAAGGTGGGAAGATGGGCTTTTCCTGAGTTCAGGGCAGTGGCGACGTGCTCTCGTCCCAACTATCAAGTGCAAAACAGATGTTACCATGCCACACCCCTGCTTAAAGTGAACTGCCTCTCCTGGCTCACAGGTGCCTTTGAGTTGGTTCAACGTGCTACTCAGTAGACCTCCTGGCCACTTAAACAGGAGTTTAGAGAGGAAGCATCTTTGGCTAAAGGCTGTTCCTTGCACCCCCAAGTACAGGCTGCCAAGGCAATTGTGATTTAACACTAGTTGGACTTAAAACATGCAGTGTTTTGTGGTGCTGTGTGGCTATAGTATACTATGGTCCTTCTTATGCCTTCTGGGTCACAGGTTTGGGCAAAGAAGATGGTGCTCTCAGACTAGGGAGTATGGTTTAGGAGGGCAGGTGCCACCCAGCTGGCTACGTGCCTGACCCCCGCCCATCCATATGGACATAGTTTGGTGCTATATAACGTTGCCTCCCTGGACCCCCAATGACTCAATTTCAAACACTTGCCCCTTGGGTGATGGCTGAGGGTGTGGGATCCACCATCCTCCCTGGCCCACTCCACAACTAACCTGCTCTGTGATTTTGTTTCCAGAGAACTCAGATGGCACAGAGCTAGACTCAGGCGTGGAGAGATGGGAGCTGAGTGACAGGGGTAACACCTCCCTTCCACCATCACTCTGTCTTTTTCTCTTTTTCTTTCCCTCTGCCTCCCAATACCCCACCCTAGCACCAGCTCCTCCTCCATCCTTCATTCCTGGCTTTTGTTGATGGACAGACTCCTTCTAAAGTGCTCGCTGACAGGCCCTCCAGGCATTTCCTTGGGCCTGGCATCCCTGCCCTAACTGGCCTCTTCTGCTGTTGTGGTCTCTGCTGGCCCCCAGACAGCCTGCCTCCGAGCACAGAGAGCACATGCCAGTGCAGCCCCTATACAGCTTCAGGACCCCCACCCACTCATGCCCATTTCTCTCTAGGACCCCTGGGCTTTCTGGCTTGCCTCAGTGTGGCCGCAGGACTGGCCCTGCTCATGTACTGCTGCCCTCCAGGTGGGTCCTTCAAATCGGGTCCTTCCAGATGTCCTCAGCACACTAGAACGTCCCAGAGCTGTGCCCATTGCCTAGCTAAGGAGACTAGCAAACACTGTAACCCAGCTCTGCCCTCCCTGGCCCTGTGTATGGGCGCTGAGCCCCACATACACTCAGGGACCCTCTGCATTTGAGGACGTAGGCCTGCCAACTCAGACCCTCACCAGATGGGCAGGTTTCAGCACAGCCTCCCAGGCCCTAAGAGGAGTCCCCTCTCCTTACAGCTAGGCTGGGCCTACTCCCCACCTCTTGAGTACACTGAGTTTACAAGGAACATGTGCATGTGTCATGGGTGCTGTCCTGTGTGGGGACTGTGTTATGTGGCCTTCCCAGCCCTTTGCAGGTAAATGCAGAAGCCCTTGGGTAGGTGTGAGCACAGCAGCATTAGCCACTCTTAGGCTTCATGCTGACATGGGTAACACATTTGAGATTTGGAGAATCCAGTGTTTTTGCTAGTAACTTGTCATTTCCACTAAAACTCCAGGCAGTACCACTTAGGATGGGCAGGAAGCTCACACACCTCGAGTCCTTGGCAGGCTCAGGTGAGCGGGAGGGCAGGCTTTACATGCATGTCTTCAGTGAGAGCTGTGACCTGCAGGTCCTGCACTGGTGCTTCCCCTCATTGTCTCCTCCCCTTCTGTCATGCCTTCCAGACCCCAAGGTCCTGCCAGGAGCACGGCGTGTCCTCGGCTTCTCCCCCATCATCATCGAGAGGCATGTCAGCCGCTATCTGCTGACCTTCCTGGCGGGCAATCTGGGGAGTTCCTGATAGGGCCCTGGATGCTGGACCCTGCCTGTTGCTCAACCTAGCTTACTGGCCTGTTGGAATCACCCAGCCTGCCAAGACTGCCTTCGGCCAGCACACAGCTCACTCACTCGCTGGGGGACCAGAGTGTTTCTTTTTTTAAAGGCTTTAACTATCATTTCTGAGACTCACTTTGACTTTGCCTTATGAAGGAGTTGAATGCTATTAAATGGCCAAGAGTCCTGTCTCACTCTGCCCTTCCAGGAGGGTTTTCTTTGTGACTGACTCTGGCTATCCACTGGCCTTGCTCTTCTGCCCTGCACATGGAACCAGGGCTCTTAGTTCTCTCCCCTGCCTCTTCCCTCCCAGGCCCTCCAAGACATTAAGTCCATACATCCTCTCCTCACACTGCTCTGTGCTGGGGCTTCAGCTTTGTCCCTGCCAGGGCCCTCATCTACCCCCACACACCTGTCTCTGCTATCACCAAGCCCTTCACTGACACCCATTCTTCCTCTTCTAGCCCTACCAACACCCATAGGTCAGGCAGCACTACATTAGTTCCAGGCCTGAGCACACCCCTCTACCTCCTCCCCACACTTCTCATACTCCCCACCCTTCCCCTCTCATTGCCTTCTGTGAACCCAGCAGAACCTTGCCTACTGTGGGTGAGGTATGTGGTGTGCTGTGAATTCTAACAGCCTCCAGGGAGAGTTTTTATTTCCCAGGCATTTTACTTCAGGCCCATAGTGAGGAAATCAAAGAGAAGGAAGTGACTGCCTGAGGTCACACAGCCAGCAAAGGGTGGAGACAGGACTTCAGGCTGGTCTGAGCTCAGGCCACATCTGTCTGCTCTCCCCTTTGACCTTTTGACTCTTGCCCCACCTTTGACCTCCAGCAGCCCTCTACTTAGTGTGTCCTGAGGAGACCCCTCACCTCTCCAGCAGCTCCTCTGCTGGGTTCCTTCGCTGGTGATAGACAGCCTCATTGCCATTCTGGTCACCACAGTGGAGCACTCAGAGTCCTTGGCTCTTTTCCCCACTCTCCCACCCCACCAAGAGCTCAGGCCCCCCTCTGAGACCTGTGCCCCAACTCAGAGCAATGGCAGAGGATAAGGATCTCTGGCATCAGTGTGCCACTGCTGCCCAGGGCTTGGTACTTTGGTTTACATGGCTCGAGGTCTCAGGACCTTGGGGCTGAATGTGAACATAAAGGCCTTGCCTGGTGTTCTGGAAGGTCCCCTCACCCCAAGCATTATGGGTTTCCCCAAAAGTACACAACTCAAAATCACACCCTTGAAGAACATCAGAGAATGGCCTGCTGGCAAAGAACTAAAATAAGGTTTTTAGCATGAGTTCAGACAAAGAGAAGGGATCTAAATTTTGGAGACAACCCTAAAGGACTTTCTAGAACTTGAGATGAAAAATGTACCCATTGCAATTTGAGGTCTTGCTCTACTACTCCTCAGGCCCTGCCTTGAAGCCTGGGGTTTGGCCACTTCTACCATCTGTCCCCCTCAGTGCCTAGGTCCCCCAGGCCCTTCTTGGGGACACAGAGCCCCTTTCCCTTGAGTTGGAATGACTGGTCCAGCTTGTGTCACCTGCCAGCCTTGAGCCTCGGGGTCTCATCCTAGAAATGCCCTGTGAACACAAGGAGAAATGTACAAAGGAAGAGTGGGTGGGTGGCTGCCTATGATTTCACCTCTGGATATCTTCCCCCTCCCCCTTTGATCAGGCAGGTTGAGCTGTGGCACCAGGTAGCTCCTCATTTATCCCCCAGCACATGGAAAGAACACCTAATAGCCTCTGTTGTTAGCTCCAACTCTGCAGTGTATGATCATTTTATCTCTGCCACCCTGTGTTACCTTACTTTACAGATAGGGTGCTGAGGCTTGGAGTCCAGACCATATGGCAGCTATGAGCAGGGACTTCCAACTGCTTCCCCAGCTGCCTCCCCTCCTCGCACACACCAGCATCCTGGCCTAGCAATGTCTCCCCTTCCTCTTCCCTCTCACCCTTTCTTTAGGGGTGATAAGAATACTTGTCAATCTGCAGAATCATCATGAGTCTCTTTTTCTGGGCTGGGGTTTTACGGAAGTATTTGGCTTCTGCCTCAGAAGGTGCCAGCCAGCAAGCCCTCATACTGGGAATGTTGATAATGCAGCTGATGCATCCTGGGATGGGGGCCCATCCTTGCCATTGGCCTATCACTTATCCTGACCTTCAGAATACATACACACACACTTTCCCGGGAATGTTCAATTCTACTTGAAGGTCCAGCCCTTTGCAGGGCCATACCACCATCCAGCAAACTCCTGCTAATGACAGAAGTGCCTACAGAGAATTTTGGGTGAGTGGCCAAGGAGCTCACACCTTCATGTTGGTGAGGCCCATGGTGTGGCACAGAGAGGCAGGTGTAGGAACCAGCCTCATTGCTATCTTGCCCCCTCTTCCATGCTATGGGGTCTTCATCTGGGTCTGAACTCCATCTCAAGTACAGGCTGTGTAACTCAGGTCTGTCAGTGTTGCACACCCAGCAGTGTTCTCAGAACTTCCCTGTGCACCCTATAGTCATCACACACACACCCTCACTGCCCTGTTAGAATGAGACCACACATGGTTGCTCACCCCACTGCAGCCCTTCTCTCTCAGACTGGGTCATGAGGAGGATGACACTGTGACCCTGCTCTCTCTGGCTCCAGACTGCCCTCCTGAGGCCTGGGCAGGGCCGAAAGGAGGCAAGACTAGACTACTGAGTGCTACATCTTCCAGGCTACCTGGCACAAGCTCTGGTGTCATCGACGGCAAACAACAACAACAGCAACAATCACACTGTGCTCAGTGGCCTGCAGAAAGAGGTAGGCACTGGTAGGGAGACCCTTCTCTGCAGCAGCCATGGTCCCAAAGTCCACTTTCCAGCTTCCGGGAAGGGGAAATGGAACATTGGCAGCCACTGCAGAGCAGTCCAGGCTGGGGAAAGTGCAGCCCGGGGTGGTCCAGTCCTGCACCCTTCTCTGCAGCCTTCCATCCATCATATATGCTCCTAACTCCGAGTTTATTCCTTCTTCCTGACACTGGTGTGGCTTCTGTCCGTTTTCTGCACCCCAAATGAAACACCTGTGTGAAGGGCCAACATAAGGGGGTACCACCAGGGTGGAATTGGCCCCAGAGGGGTTTGGGGGTATTCAATTCTAGTTCCACATTCACTGAAGGTCCCTGTCAAGAAGGGAGTGAAGAAACTGGACAGAGGTCAGCACCCTGGGCGTAGGAAGGCCTTCAACACTGGCCTGCCCTGAGGCCTACCACTAGATGAGAGGCAGGTAGGGCATGGAGAGCACACCTTCCCAGGGCCAGTCAAGATGGCCTCAGGCCTGGCCTGGGAGGATGCTCCTGCTACAGATGCTACCCAAGGGGGCTGGGCAGTGACAGCCAACCTGTAGGCTTGTCCTGAGAGCTGTGGGGCTGGGGCACAGAAGGTATTCTTTGCAATCTACCAGCCCCCTTTGACCCCAAACCACTGAGGCCTTGCCCTTGAAGGCCTGTAGCTACCAGACCCTGAGCCTCAAGCTGTCACTGGACCCTTCCTAGCCATCAGCCACCTGTGACCCCATTCCTGACTGCTTGAGCCAAAGTTGGCCACATCCCCATTCAACAGCAAAGTCTCTGCTTGTCAACCAGCCTAACCTCTCGGATCTGCCTACTCCCAGTTGGCCTATGTTCCCCCAAGGCCTTCACTCTGGGCTGAGAGCCATGGGGGAGGGGCATCTGTGTCTAGACCTCAGCCACATCACCATCAGCCACCTGGTCAGCCAGTGCCAGGGACTGGACTGACTTAAAGGCACCACAGACTACATTTGCTCCTTCCAGAGCTCTGGCATGGCTCCCTAATGCCCTTGGGATGAAGCCTGAGGCTAGTGCTCAGGGCTTTCACCATCTGTCACCTCTTTCCCATCACTTTGCCCAAATCATTTGTGCTTTGTGCCTCTACATCCTCAACATACTATTCCCTCTGCTTGGAAGACTCCTTATCAATCCACCTCACTTGCTTATCTTTCAGGTCTTGGGGAAATGTCACCTCCTCTCAGAAGCCTTCCCTGGCACTCTAGTAAGGACAGATCTTTCCCTCCCCTCTATACCCCTGGCTGAAGCAGCACCTAGGCTCCCACCCCACATCTCCAGAGCTAGGCAGGACCTGGCAGGGCTGCTGGGAGTTGAATTCCCACTCACTGCAGAGGTGTGCCATGGGCTGACCCCTACTCCTTGGATGCCCAGATGGAGGGAGTGCAGAGCAGGCAAGACACAGCCAGAGAGCATGGGCCATGAGCACCAGGCAGCTGCTGCTTGCACAACTCAGAGTTCCCCTTCTGGGACAGGAAATAAACATGTTGACTCTGCAGGACTCAGGGTCCCGAGTTTGGGGGCTGGGACATTGGTGCTGACAGTTGGCGTCATCACTTCCACTTCCCACTGGAACTGGCATTTGCTAGGTAGTGATGAACCACTTTAAAAATGAGCTCAAGGGATCTTCCTAGAGTCTCCCTGCAGTCCTGCAGCCACCAGGCACCTATCTGCTCACTACACTAGGCTGGTCAGCCTGGACACCTGATCTCACATGTGCAGGAGTACCTGCCAGGCAACTTGCTGCCATTGCCCCTGTTGTTATGTGCTGTCCAGTTGTTTCAACCCATAGCAACCCTACATATAACAAAGTAAAACACTGTCTGGTCCTGTGCCATCCACAAAATCATTGCTATGTTGGAGCCCATTGTTGCAGCCACTGTGTCAATCCATCTCTGACCATCTACTTTATCAAGCATGATGTCCTTCTCCAGGGACTGGTCTCTCCTGATAACATGTCCAAAGTATGTGAGATGAAGTCTTGCCATTCTTACTTCTAAAGAACATTCTGGATGTACTTCTTCCAGGACAGATTTCATTCTTCTGGCAGTCCATGGGTATATTCAATATTCTTTGCCAACACTATAATTCAAAAGCATCAATTCTTCATTGGTCTTCCTTATTCATTGT